GCTATTAAGCATGGCAAATCATGTCAATTTCGTGGCACTTTTGGTTTTTGCACAATTGGTGCGTCCCGTCGTGAAGGCATTAAGAAGGACTGATAAATTGTTTTCAGGATGGAGGGAAGAGACTTGACTTTGAATTGTCCAAAGCACAATAAATGCCAAAGAAATGACCGTCAGTTATGCAGGTGGTCAAACAACCATTACTACATCGCCTCCCTCTTCCTTTGAAAGACTTCCATTGCACTCTCCTTGCTGCACCTCTTGCGATAGGGAAACACCAACGAGCCAGCAGCAACTGCAGGAACATCACTGGACCTCTTAGTAGCTTCCTCTGGATCTGTAGCTGCATTCAGTGGAAAGGACAAGAATCGTAGAGAGCAACCTCTGTTGACCACCGGTAGACGTTGAAACACTGGTCCATTACAAGTTCTTAGCGGGACAAACGGAACTAAACCCAATCCTATACGGAAGGGCGTTCAGCGTGGTGAGAGTTATGCGCGGAGGTGGCAAGGAAATTCTGGTACAAAACTCTTTCCAGGTATTCTGTTAAACACAGACGGTGTTTCAGCCCTTCGGCTGTACTGAAGTCAGAGCATTTCCCTCCAGCAGTGCAATTTCCTTCACATCGTCGAAAGCATACCCCCACCAGTGGCCGCTGGCACTTAGTAAAGCCAAATACACACACTGGAGAAGGAGGGGAAGGGCACAAGATCAAGGAATTTTACCTAAAAATAGACCCTCAGTCGCACAAGTGGCCACATAAACAAGGAACCGCAGCCAACGTATGTAGTTGGATGTTTTAAATTGGGCAATGTGATAACAGCAAAGGTGATGTATCGGTGCTGGCCTAGCCGTACCGCCTCGATGATGCCTCAAACTAGTCATGTCTTCACACCACTTATGAACTGGAAGGCGGAGGTCTCCAAACCCCCTCTGTCACCCCGATGCATTCCACTAATCCAGCTCCACCCTGCCGGCAGGCGATGGAGGTCATGGTCACACCAACCTCTTCCTTATGCAATGGTCGGACACCTGTTTATGCCTAAATTCTAAAAAAACTGACCTTAAAAGTGCGATGATGGAGGTGGTGTCAACTCCAGCCTCACCTCCTATAACGGCGCATCAATTTTTGAAGAATTTTAAGGTCGGTAGCATGAAAACAATGACGTAATTGAAATGAGACATCAATGAGGTGGCCTTAAGTATGTCATGTTGGGTACATTTAACCAAAACGATCCAATGACGCACACAATAGCGGTGCAATTAAATCACATTATCATAACATAACATTCTCCCTGCTGAAATTACGTAGTAGGAAATCATCACTCAGCTTCCTCGGTTCATCTTTGCATTGATGGAAGTAGGAACTGTTGGACTGAATTAAAAGCATAGTAAAAAAGGTGGAAAGACGTGGTGACTACCTTCCCATTGGCTAGCGCTATGAGCTTCGCCTCCGGCTAGCAGCATAACCCCTCCCCCAAAATCGCATTAAAGATATGAGTTAGTGGTGAAAGGGTGCGTCTGCAATCAAAATGTCTGCCTTTGGAAGAGGAAGTGATGCTTGAAATGGAAGAAATTGTGAAGATTTAAATGCTACAAAAATGGCGCGATTTGATTGGCTACTTCAATCCACACAGTTCAAAGCTGCTGAAATGGCGATTGAATGCACAAAAAAGGGGACAAATGTTAATCCCATATTATTTATATCATTTAAGATTAACATTTTTAGGAATCTAACCATGTGGGGATGAGTGTGAGTTTGGATGTTGAATGGCGACTTCGCTGAGGATGTGCGATGGTAACAATTTGAGGACGACATATGACAACAGGATTAGCAGTGAGAACGTGAGAAGGCGCTCTACCATCACATTAGCGCTAAACCAGCATTTTACGACTTATTTAGGGATGCTGAAAGGATTACAATTTTGGCTGTCCAAGCGAAGGCCTGTGGGACCAAAAAGAGGGTCCTCTGGATAACTAATTTGGTAGCTTTTTGGTTTGTTCATCTACGCCAGTTCGTAGACTTTTAAAATGAAATGTGCATGAAGTAAACTCGAAAAAAACCCCACCAGAGGTTGAAAAATGTGGATTTGTCAAAATGTGGAAGTAAAACGGGAAAAGATGTGTTAAATGAATGCTTCACTGTCAGTGGGTCAGGTCATAATCCCTTTTGTTGAGCTCGCGATCCCTTGCTAAAGCGGTAGGAGGCTCACAGATGGTGACAGCAGGCGTGGGGCGAGGAGTAACGGGGAGGAGGGATTAAGGGCACAAAAACACACGTGGGTTCCCCTTTACCTCACACGTATTGGTAGTGTCGACTGATTGACATGACGCGTGCATTAACAGCATTGCATGAATCGTTTACCAAAGTGACTCATTTTCGTCTCAAATTATAATGACTTTATTTGACGATTTGAGACGGAATGAGTGACTATGATAGGTGGAGAGTAACGAAGTGAGGATAGGCAGGCAGGCAGGCAGGCACTAATCTCGAGAGTTGCCCCGTCCCAAGTTAGGTGCTCATTTTGACAAACTCCAGTGTGATTTACTCATCAACCGATTGCAAATCCCAAATGCAATGAGGTCTGATTACAAGCGGTCGCTAAATTCAACCGAGCACAACTACCCCGCCGCCTTTCCAGAGGGGAGGAAATCAAGCAAAAGGGCATTTTGAATAACCAAGGTGCTCCCTTGGTCCTCACAATATAGACATGTCTCTTCGATAAACACTCTAATAAATGTATATACACATATCAAAAGAGCATCCATCTCTCGTCCAACTCCTCCACCCGTGGTCGCTGTCTCCGCAATGTACAGTGACTGCCTCGTCTTCGAGTAGGCATAATCAAATAGGGCGACAGGTGAGGGCGGAGGGCGGAAGGGAGGGAGGTAGGAAAGAGGGTGGAAAGGGGGAGGGGGGAGGACGGGGATCGGGCAGGCAAAGTCGAGGCAGCATTTGCCTCTCAAAGGCAACTTGATCGACTCATAGTGGAGGCATTTGATCCCGGTGAAGAAGGTGGTGGATGATAATCACCAGTGATGTGTTTCATCACCTCCTTTGTCTCCCAAATTCCCTCATGTAGGCGACTAATCAACACTTCACGAATTTGGTTTGATGGTAAGCTAAAGCTAATGAGAACGTTGAGATTATCGCACAACTGCACCCCAAATTTGTAGTCTAAAAAGGCAAAAAAAAATGCAACAAAGACGGAGCTACACAGCCTTTCCACCAATCAAACCTTCAACTTACATTCACATTCAAAGTTGAGAACTTTGATGTCGAGGAGGGGAATTGCCTGTCGAACGAGGAAAAGGGCATTGGGAGGAATGTCAGTGGAGTAATAACAATTGACTCGCATATCACTACTCCTTGAGTTGCATTTTTGGAGGCTCGATGTGTCACCAGGCAAATTCACATTTGGTGGACTTCGTGCCCCCAAGGTGGGTGGACTGCCAACTCGATTGACAAGACGATCAATCGATCTGGATCGTCCACGAATGCCTCCAGTCAAGAGATCATCCACAGCATTGACTCGATTTAAACCAACAGGTTTAGTAACCACCAAAATATCATTAAATACAAAAAGACATCGTATTTGTGAGGTGGGTCGTGGAATGAGGGGTTTTCTAGCCGTAAAATCATTCACTTCTAATGCCAAAAACCACGCCACAAATTGACGATAGCGTTGAATAAATTTGTCCGGTTTTAAGGGACCCGTAAAAAGACGATCCACTTGTCTAAGTCGATCAATTGGATCGGGTAGGGTGCGAAATTCATTCTCCACCACCCGATTGTAGATGCCATCAAGGAGGGCAGTGGCAACATCTTCACCCTTGTCAATGCCACGATTGTTGTTAATGAAGTCGACTTTTGTCATT